CGAACCGGGGCATTTCTTCTATACTTCGATGTCCATTAGCATGATCGCTGGCAAGTTAGCTGGTCGCTTCCTCCCTGTTTACGTTTGTGTGTGGGTGTCTGTCTGTCTGTCTGTCTGTCTCTCTGTCTGTCTCTCTGTGCTTGCCTTTGTGCCAGCTAACAATCCTATCCAACGTTTCTTTTTTATGGATCTCTACTCTTAACGGTTTCGTTTCGGTTTCGATAGTTTCAAGAAATAGCGGATAAACATATGTTTACACACTTTCTTTACAAAAAAAAGAAACAAAAACAAAAAGAAAAGGAAAACCTCTTTATGTACGCACTAAAGGTGTTACGAATGCAATAACAAAATTATCACATTTCTATCCTTATGCGAATGGGTACAACAAGACCTGTAATCATTAGCTTGTATATCCGCATAATATAAAAAAAGCTAAAAGCAAAAAGAAAAAAAACGCATGTATGTTATTAAAAATTATATCTGACTCTTAGCAAACGTATATTAAAATATAACTTTATAGTCTTGAAACTATAAACAAAAACTAGCAAAAAAAAAAAAACCGGTCTACAAAATGAAATCACTCTGACATGAGTCATAATATGACATGAACAAATATTGTTATTATTATTTTTTGCGATCGTTATACATTCAATGAAAATGATTATGTGGAGCGTGTGTGGCTGTGTTTGTATATGTTTATGGTATACGATTTAATTACATAATTGCTTATCAGGTGCATGCATATAAGTAGCTGTTTAAGGATTTGTGTGGAATATATATATATACACAGATGGCAAGAAATGCTCATTCATAACTGTCTGACTGCTATATACATATATATATGTATAGAGATGTGTGCATTTTCTTCATAAAAAAATGTAAAAAAAAGCAACAATTTTTTAAAAATTCATAATAAAAAAACGTGTAGAAAACATGATAAATATCGTGCATGCATATGTTAGTGCGAGCATATCTTTTTTACACCTACCACCAATGTTTCACAGAATATGTTTTATGACTTTGACACGAATTTTTTGGTTACTTAAACATTTTTATATCGCACATCTACGTGTTCATTCACCCACACATTTAAGCGCATATCTCTTTTGTTTTTTTTTT